TCACGGACAGCCTTCGCCATATTGGCCCCATTGTCGGTAACCATGAACCCGCGGGTTAGCTCAGCCTGCCCAACGAGCCACCCCTGCACCATGCGGTTCATGGCCCCCATTATCTCCCTTGCCGTGTGGGACTCACCTAGTACCTTGCCTTGCAGTAGAGCCAACGAAAGGCCTAACTGAGTGCACCAGTGCCCCGTGAGGGAGCAGTAGGTGTGATCACCACCCTGGCTGCTCCAGAACTCGGAGGTGAAATGCAAGGCCTCCTGCGGCCCTGCCTTGCGCAGCTCCTCCCTCAAGTACTCCCTGCATGCCTGATACAGGGAGGGCACCACCACCCTGCTAAAGACGGTGCATGCGGGCACTTTGTAAAATTGGACCAGAAGTGCTATGAACCGCCTGAACCCTGGTCACTCAACCAGGGAGAAAGGCTGGCTATCCAGAGCAAGCATCTCCCCAGTGCTCTGGGAGATCTCGTGCGCCTTGTGAACGCACACCCCTTTTTGTGACCCTCCCCCACCAGAACTGAGAAACAGGTACGCACCTCTTGCTGCCCTAGCAGAGCCTGCTGAGTTGCCAGCCCCAACAGGCAACATGGGCCCAACTGCAGCTCCCGCCCCTGCTCTCCCCAAGACAAAACGTAAACCAGTTCACATAGTAGCCACTGATGCTGGTCCCACTGCTCATGGTGCAGGAGAGTTTCACAGTGTTTCCCGGGGACACTGACTCTGCGGGCGGCTGCGTCACCACAGACTGGGAGCTGGAACCTGGAAAACATGGTAGAAACCTGTTACAGCCTGCTTATGTGTCTCTCATGCCTGGAAACAGCGTGGGCATTGGCTTTAGCAGTAAGTTGAAAGCATGCTTAACCCTTCCTCTGTTCTCACCTGTGCACCACACCCCCAGCAGCACGACAAGGAGGGGAGCCCAGAGCATGGTGAGGAGATATCTGGTTCTTTTTTCTGACGATGCCCCGCAGTATCTGCCCCTTATAATGATCTCCCTCTCGCCGCCCCGTCCCCACCCCCCAGTAGAGGAACGATAAAACTCCTCCTTCCTGCTAATCTGTTCTCCTCTGACTGGTCCCTGATATTAGGCTAGGTCTGCCTCCTGTAGCACAAGAAGGTTTCTTCCTCCTTGGTGCCAGTGATACCAAGAGGTGGGGTTTGCTGCCTGTTGCCACACTGAGGGCTTTTTTGGAGTTGTCTGGAGCAATCCTATGGCTTCCTGTTTTGGCTTCACATAACCCAGCTATGGCTGCAGGTCTATGGGTCTTCTACATGCTGAGCAAACTCAGCTCAGTGCTTTTTGGGCACAAGCAAAGTGTAATGCGGTCACTCCGCATAGGAACTGGAAAGCAAGGCTGAGGCAGGGAAAGGAGGCAGAGTGCGGGGACTGTGCTTTGGGGAAAGAAAGTTGTGCCAGGTTGGGCCCGCAGGCGGGGGAGCTGCTCTGTGGGAGGCATGTGCTAGGATGATTGCCAGGTGACTGCTCTGATCCCCATGCACACAACAGGCTGTCTGGGTTTGCTACAGGGTCATGGGTTCAGGCCATTGGGGAAGGTGCAGAAGGAACCATCCTAATTTCACTGGTAATGAGTTTCTTGTTCATGAAGATAGCACTTAGGTAGCACTCTGGGCCCCAGGACAGAGTAGCCATGAAGGCCTTCAAGCCCCTTTCATGCATGCCAGAATGCCCCTGGGTAGTGAGAAAAAGCAATGATTGCCTCTTGGGTAGCAATATATATTTGTGCCACTCACAGACTTAATGATGCCCAGAGAATGAAAGCAGAGAGTGGCAACATCACTGGAGATGTTCCAGAAGAGGATAGATAAGCACCGGACAGGGAGTTGTTGAGGAGTTGTAGTGCTCTGCACGTGCATGGGGTTGAATAGGATGATGCTCATGGTCCCTTCCAATCCTGCCGTTTGGTTCTTTACCCTCTGTGTTTAGTTGAGAGGTTGGGATGTGGTAGCTTGCTCTACCCGGGACTACCCCTCTCTTGGAGACAGGCTGTCACAGCATGTTGCAAGGAAGCTGTACTCTGTGCCATTGGTGTGGGCAGGGCCCCTTCCTGCTGCCACTGCAGGGACAGTGCACCCCGGCCA